ACTTGACAAGTTCCCCATCCCTTTTCCCACCTTTCGGGATTCTGAGAAACCTAAATGTCCAGCCAGGAGATATTTCTTGAGGATTTCTCTGCTTGCAACAGTGGGGAGCCTGGAGATACTGCGCTGCAGCTATAACCAGGCTGCCACAGGCCAGAAATCCTACCTAGGATCAAACCAGCCACACAACAATTCGTAGCAAGTCCAATACTATTAGAAAACACCGGTTTTAAACTGCATTTGCAACAGAGAACGAAAGGCCGTTTCCCTGCCTGGGTAGCAGAACGATGGTGTGCCCAGACTGCTCAGGGTGCCAAGCCAAAGAGGGTGGCTGGAAGGAGCTCCCGCCATCGCCCAGCTCCTTGCCTCCTCTAGCTTTCTGGCACTGTTGCAGGTACAGGACTTTTCTCCCTCTGCAAATACTTGCACTAAGAGTGCAAGAGCAATACCTCAGTCATGTGAGCTGAGAAATCCCCCCTGGAGATACCAATACGATGGCTTCTGAATACACAATTTTTTCCCCCACTGAAAATGTAAGTTAGGAGCATCGGACAGGACCTACTTCAGCTGAGGGCACTCAGTCTGCTTCATGGGAGAACTAACGCTTGGAAAGGGTAATATGCTAAATGAATTCAAGGTCTGCAGCAACAGCACTACTGATTTCCCATAGCCATGTTTATTCACTGCCACACTTCCAGCCCGTGCCCAGCCTGCCACATCATTAACCTCCTAAAAACACTTTCTAGGCAGTCAAGTAGACAGAACAAGCCTCATTAATGCCCCTAGGCTATTTTTGGCCATCTCATTTCAGTTAAGCATCTAGCTTATTGCACCTTGTTGACAAGGTATTTTGCTAGGGGATCATGATTCTTAAAACAAAAACACACAGCTGCGACTGACTCCCCCGCAGGGGTACAGAATTACTCCTGCATCATTAAACCAACCCTCATCTTCCATTCATCTGCCCAAGTTTTCTCCTTTTCACCACCTTCTCAACTAAAGCAAGCCAAAAAGCTAATATAGACACTCATTTTGTCTACTCCGGTAAGACCATTCCTAAAAATACTCTGGAAAATTGAATCAACATTTTCTAATGTAGCTTAGTAAAATCAATTATTAATAAGCAGCAGTAACATAATTTTCTTCATCTAGAGCTACTCCAGCTGTAATGTGATTTCAATAGTAAACTTTGTTTTGCACACTAAGCAAACATGATGGGCAATATGAGAAAAAAACACTGATAAAACGGAATATCAAAACCAGCTTTAAAAGTAAATTAACTTCCCTTTTCCACCAGCACATAATTTTAATTCAAATCGCCTTTGGAAAGATAAATTTAATATTGTCCCTATGTTCCACTGTAAAACGGAAAAAACGTGAAACACAGAGGGCTCATCTGGTATTTCAGCCTTCATCTCTGAATCCATTCACCAGTTTCTCCTGTATGAAACTCCCCGATAACTACTAGTAAGTCAATGTTCCATATTAAGCTTGAATGAAGTTGGTAAAAACAGTTTCAGGAGATATCAGGAACTGGATAGAGGGGAAGAGCTTGGGACCAGCGAGCAATATCCCCTGGAACGGTGACACAGGAAAAGGGAGCAGTATTCATCGTATTTAGCGCTGTCCTGAAGCAATAGCTGCTACAAGATATTAAACACTTAGAATTGAAGTGGCTGTAAAACAGAGATTTTTTTTTTTAATTTAGTAATAATTTTAAAAGCTTGATAACTCTTCACCTTGCTCAGTGTGAATGAGGGACATGGAAGGTCCCTTCCACAAGGCCAGGACACTCTGATTTCCCCATTTGTGCTGGCTGTGGCATCCCCACAAGGCAGGGCAAACTCCGCCGCGTAGCCGGCAGCGCCGGTCCCTGTGCTGTCCCGGCCCCAGGGCCAGCTGGGCGCGCGCCCGCTCCCTGCATGCCCAGCGAAGAGCAGCCACAGCCGTTAGCACCTGGCTGAGACAGCAAATGGCATCGCGCCGATGTAAAAAATGAAAAACCTGTGGTCTAGAAGAAAGCGCTCTTGGGGGCAGAGAAGTCACTCCCATACTGTCATGCTTCCACAGCATCTGAGAGCAGCAGAAGCGCTCGGAATTGCAACCCTAATATTCAGAAATATAGGAGGCTGGAGGCAGGGCATCCTTACTAGGGGACAACTGATTGCCCTGCATACCTCATACAGGCCCGTCAGTTTACTCTGCTGAGAACAAAAGAGAAGATCATTTTGTACAATTCTGAACAACACGCATGCAACTAGAAGGACTAGACCAGACTCAGGACTACAGGTCAAGTAAACAATATTTTGTGATGTGCATCTTCATTTCCATTCAATTCATAGTGAAATGCACAGCTGCGCTTTTGCTCAAGCAACTCCCGCTATGATGTAGGTTTTCTGGAGACTGAGAGAGATCTTGCAGATAAAAAATGAGGAATATTTTTTTCCCCTGATCTGATAAATTTGCTGTGGGTGTCTATGCTTTCCAAATGTATAAACAAGTGCCGATTCATGCAAGGATTTAACTTGGAAGTGTGACCAACTTATTGCTTTTTCTTTCAGCCAAGAACAGCAGATGCTACACAGCTCTGTGAAAGTATTGGTACTTAATGGGTATTGATGACTAGGTCAAGCCAGCCTGGCAAAAGAAAAATACTACTGAATTTCTGGAACTCTTTCCACACTCAGGAGTTGCTAAGCAAGGCCCCACTGGCTGAGGAGCAACTTCACACCTCTAACCGAAACCCCGGCCAGTCCAGACAGAGTTACCGCCACGGCTGGTGTTACGGGAGACGTTGTTCTCCAGAAGCGCAAGGGAGAACATCCTGGTAGATAGAAAAGCTGGCTATTTCACATACTCACATAAAAATATTTATAAATTTTTCCACTTTCCAATTCAAGAAGGGGCATTGCTCATTCATTTATTGCTATAAGAACAAGAGACAGAAGTCCTCCGTTATACTATGCGCTAGTTATAGCACCTGTATTACTACTGGAGCTATGGCAGACCAACGATTTTGGTCAAGTGGACAAGAGAGCACAATATGCTGCTTAGTCTGTTCATGTTTTCTACATGCGTGGCATTTAGAAGTGGCACATTTTCTTTCTGTTCAGTTTAGAAGACTTCCCTCATTAAGGCTCAGAGCAAGTCACAAACTATTTTTGGCAATCCCCAAACAAAAATGGAGTACAAGCAAGCTTACCATTTCAAACAAGCCAGGAGAAACATCCACATACTAAAGCCCACACACATCAGCTTACACATTAGCCATCTGCATCTTTTCAAAGGCTAAATGGAAACTGATAAGTCCAGGCAACACTATAAATTATTTCAGACAATCTTGGAACAACTCCATGGAGCCCCACTGTTCAACAAAAACCCATTACCACGATGGCAAGAAATAAGAGGGTAAGAATGCATTAGAGCCTCTCCCTTCCCGCAGGTCAGTTAGGGAGTGCTCTTCTCTGCAGGACTGCAGGTCACTCTCGGCAAGCAAAGGTGCAGGTTAACAGCAATACTGCACTGTCTATTGAGGAGGAAACATTAGAAAGAGATGATCCATCTCTTCTAATCAGCAGCATCCTCCTAAGGTGTGTTTCACGTAGGAGATTATTTTAAAGACCGAATGAACTGAAGTAAACACTCAACTGCCTGTAGAAATACTAGGAATGGACTCAGCCATCCGCTCATCCCCACCCCCAGAGATGACAAGAAGCAGCGCCGGCACCTGAGACTCAGCCGTTTCCTCTCCCCGTAGTTTGGCAGGTAGCTGCGCTAACTAACACACTGCACTGATGCCTCTCAGCCCAGGATTCACATGGGCCACCCTCAATTTACCTGCTGTCAGGAGGCCTCTGTAATTAACCAGACTATTATTTTTTTAAGCACTTGCTGAGAGACTTCTCACCGGAAACTGGATTCATACGAGCTGTTTTGGACAGATATTTTATCCCTAGAGGAATGAGAGTCACACTGGAACATGACTCAAAGCTGACTTCAATTTATATTTTCAAACAGCCTAACTATTCAGGCTTTTGAAGACTGGTTCCTCTTAGAAAGAGAAAAAAAGCTTGTGGGCTACGTCCTTCATGTCCGTGCCCACGCGCAGACCTGCTGGCGGGGGACTCCCGCCAGGACGCCGGCGACCTGAGCCTTTTGTATTAATCACGAATGACATCGGTGCCAGGTGGAGGTCAAGGAGTTGACAAACATCTCAGATCCCACCAAAGAAAAACTCAGTCAGGGAGGGCGGTGAGGGGTAAGTGGCAAAAGGCAGACACAGAGCCATGAAATTAAAAAGTGAGGGGAGAAAACATTAGCGGCGAATGAGTTTGTCGCCTTAATTTGACAGCGCGGCACAGCCTGCAAGTGCTTGACTCTTGGCGAGAGCGTTCAGCGTTGCTCTGGCCACCAAAGCAAAAGATCAGGGTCAGGCAGAGCTCAGGTGGTCCAGGAGCCACGTGTGGTTTCAACTTTGATATAATGTAAACCTCAAGCATCCCTCCCCTCCCGTCTTTTTCCCCGACCCCTCCCGCAGCGGTGGTGGGGGCGGCGCGCGCGAAAAAAAAACCCTCGCCTGCGCTGGCCTCCCCCAGCCATCGTACCGGGGCGGGGGGTACAGCCACAGCAGGCTGCCTGGATCTCAGCCCAGGTATCTGAAGCCTTTTACAGCCCAGCAAAGCTTTTAGGCGCAGCGGAAAAGCTGAAGAGCCATTTAAATACCCTCACGGGTAAAACTGAACATCATTTCACCCGCGGTAAAGACCTTTTCTCGCTACAGAAAGTGGGCTGAAAAAACCCACCGAGAGGAGAAGGAGTCATAGGCGGCCAGCGCGACGAGACCTCAAACCAAGCAGGAAAGGAGCTTTTCGCTGAGTTTTGTGGAGCAAGTTGCCACCCGGCGTGCTCTGCGGGTGCCAAGGCTGCCAGCAGCACCACCTCGGCATGCCAACACAGAGACCCAACACCTCTACCAAGCGGGCGGGCCGGCACGGGGCACTTACTTGGTGTTGTCCGAGTCAATGGTGTGAAAGAGCTTCTCAAGTTCCTCTTCGTTGAGCGTCCCATCCGAAAAAAAGGCTTGAAACTCCTCCAGGGACAGCTTCCCGTCATCTGCCAACAGCAACACAGCAGGCGTTAGGGCCGCGGGGCAAAGCCACCCAAACCTAAACTCCACCCTCACCTTCTGATTTGAAGACTCAGACCAAAATTTATCTCGAAGGATATATTTTACCCTTTTCTGTGCTTTCTGAGGCTGAAAAGTGATGCTTTCATCCCCAGACACCCCCTGCCTGCCTGGTCTCCTTGCATTGGGCCAGGGCCCTGCCCTGGTGGCCACGACCAACTCCCACCACTGCAGTCCAAAATGGGCTTTGGCGAGCGGGAAGAGCAAGAGCGGGCACCCCGGCAGTGCGGGGGCGACATCGGCGAGCGCAGCGCGGCACAGGCAAGGAGCCACCTGAGGAACCAGGCCATGGCTTCCTCGCATCCGCGCTTCCTTGGAGAACGTTACAAAACACCCAGGTATTTTGCAGGCTCAGAGGACCTGGTGCCACCTCCTCGCCCAGTGGCGGAGGAGCAGCTGGCTCCCCACCTTCTCCCGGGCTGCCCAGATAGGCCCGTGCGCTGGCCACGAACTGACGCACTGCAGCGGGTGGCATCTCCAGCCACCCGTTTCCACAGAGTGATGCTGTGCACCTCCTAGATCTGGACAGAAATGCAAAATAGCAGCCACTGGGCATAACAAGACAGGCTTTGCTTCAGCTGTCTACTGTTTAAACACACAAGGGCTGTGTCACCTTAATATTGTGCCTTTCCTTCTAAAGGAACTCGGTGACACACCACCTCCATCTGCCTGGCCATACGGGCTACAGCTTGCTGGCTGCCTTTTGGCAAATCCCCCAGCAAGCGAAGGAATCGCAAGGCAGAGGTTTAATAAAGATCTCCCGGGCATCAGCCACCCACACATTGACTTGCACTGATTTCACTAGCAAGCTCCAAGCTGGCTACTCATTCTTGACTACCTCTCTCAATACCCTCTCCAGGCAGATTTTCCGAGGTACCTTCCTGCAGACAACCGCTGCTTGGGGAAAAGAGTCTCTTGTCTCAACGCAGAGACTGAAAAAGTTTGCCTATTTGAAAGTATGGCCTGAAACTTTGCATATACATCCTCTGTACTGAGAACCACCTTTGACTAAAGATAAGGCATGAAGCTGGGTGTTTTCAAGCCTTCCTAGTTAACAAAAAAGATGCCAAACACGTAACTGCTTACCTTGGCCCATAAACACACTGACCTCAGTGTTAATACAGCACTGGGGCTACTACTGCCTGCTTAAAAAACTGAGAAAGAAGAGTGACTAAATCCACATACAAAGTCACATAAGGAGGAATCCTTTACAGCTTTGCTCTTACGGCAACAAAGGCACAAACCTAACTGCTAAATCAGGAGTCTTTTTCTGTGTGCTGTGGACACAGGTACATCGTGTCTAAAGCCACAGCTGGAAGTGAGACAGAGAAGGTGGGAGGGAAGCTCCCACGAGGAAGTTCAGCCATAAAGCAACAGGAGAGAGACACAGAGCTTTAAACTAATTTGAATTTACCCCAAGTTTCTTGTTCAAGCCGCTGTGCTGTTGTGGTACAGCAGTGCCTTGGCTGGACTGTTTTCCACGGTCACATATAGCTTTTCTATTCGTATCCACAGAACAGAAGATTCATGGACTGGAAACGCTGCCTACTTTGCAGTCGGAGAATGCTTCATTTATTATTTAACCAAATCAATTATAAACCCTGTTGCTTCTCTTTCAGGAAATGATGCTGGAGGACAAAATTAGCCAACTCCCCGCATACTTATCAATATTTCTTCCCCAAACTAAATAAGTCTGTTGCTCTTAAAACATATCTATATTGCCAAACGCTAACCCAGTTTCCCTTGCCTGACACAGATGAAGTTAGAACAGTGATGCATTGAGCCTAAGATACCTCCTTAATTGGCAATTACAAAAAGAACACAGCAGGAGAACAAAAACTAAAACAACAATGGGTGAAAGGGGTATAATTTTCAGAGCATCACAATGGCTATAGAGAATGCCCAGCTGCCTGTGTTGTTTTTCCGCATTTTTTCCCCAAAATGTGAACTCTTTTTAACGGGAGGGTGGCAGAGTAACAATGCACAGCTCGTAGATTTGGCCCCAGATTTGCTGTTTGGTCTTTGCAGGTGCAAGGTGGCTCAGTCTGGGGAAGACCAGTAACACATTGCACTGGACCAGGGCATAGGGTCACCAGGAAGGCATGTCCCAGCTCAGCCACCGGCCTCATTCCAGTGTTGCTATTTTCATTGTCAAGGAAAGGCTCAAACTGGCAAATATCTACAGAAAAGAACTTTGCACAATGGTAGAAGACACATGATTACAGAAAAATGAAGTGTCGAGGGTGGAGGTGGGGACAAGCATCTATAGCTTAGAGCGTCTCATCCAGAGTTGGAAGTGTCCCTTGGAGGCAAACCCAGTGAGGATGCTCTTTTGCAAGCAGCTAAAAAAAGACTGTGACCCAGACCAACGGCCCAATGCACATGATGCCCTGTCTCCACCTCTGCATATTTTGTAACCAGATGAAAAACCTCCACAGTGCCCGTATTTATGCAATATCCCAGCCAAGATCAAGGTTTGATTTCTTCTGATCCCAACTGGCAACGAATAAATGTCTTCAAGCATAAAGATCAAAAAGAGAAATAGCATTTTTATCCTATGAGGTCTAAATTGTTCTTTATATATGAAACACTTTTCTGGCAAACCTTAAGTAGGTGCCTGTTCACCTCAAAAATGCCCTCTATACAGAGACCAGGCAGAGTAAATTTCCCAGGAAAGTAACTCAAATTAACTTACTGGGAAAGAGAAATTGCCAAACAGTGCATTTTTTCCAGTAGAATACTTTAATCACAGAATCACAGAACAGTTGAGGTTGGAAGGGACCTCTGGAGATCATCTAGTCCAACCTCAAGCAGGGTCACCTAGAGCACATTGCCCAGGATCGTCGTATCCAGGAGGGTTTTGAATATCTCCAAGGAAGGAGACTCCACAACCTCTCTGGACAACCTCTTCCAGTGCTCAGTCACCCTCACAGGAAAAAAGTCTTTCCTCGTGTTCAGACGGAACTTCCTGTGTTGCAGTTTGTGCCCATCGCCTCTCGTCCTGTCGCTGGGCACCACGGAGAAGAGTCTGGCCCCATCCTCTTCACGCCCTCCCTTCAGGTACTTGTACACGTTGATCAGATTCCCCCCTCAGCCTTCTCTTCTCCAGGCTGAACAGGCCCAGCTCCCTCAGCCTTTCCTCATAGCAGAGATGCTCCAGTCCCCTCATCATCTTTGTAGCCCTTCGCTGGACTCTCTCCAGGAGTGCCATGTCTCTCTTGTACTGGGGAGCCCAGAACTGGACACAGGACTCCAGGTGAGGCCTCCCCAGGGCTGAGGAGAGGGGCAGGATCACCTCCCTCCACCTGCTGGCAACACTCTGCCTAATGCACCCCAGGAGAGCATTGGCCTTCTTGGCCACGGTGCAAGACCCTGCCCTTGCCTTTGTTGAACTTCATGAGGTTCCTCTCCGCCCAGCTCTCCAGCCTGTCCAGGTCCCTCGCAATGGCAGCACAGAGTTTACAGTTCACTCACCTCCAACACACACAGCTAAAGGTGTTTCTCTCTAAGTTTAAGGAAGAAACTGTCTTTTTCCTTAACCTACTTTATAACTTATAACTTGTCTCTTTTGTTTTCACTCTTACTTGACTTTTTTTGACTAATGTGCTATTGTTGCAGCCTTTGAAACGTCACTATCTAAAATCTGCAAGGTCCCAAAATGCTGTTAAGGTTCCTCGCTCACAGCTTCTGAAGTACGCAGGTGAGAGGACAGAGGCAGGCAGCAATTTACTATGAGAGGTCAGATCACTCAAAACCAACAGCACATATGCTGAATTTATTACAAAGTTTTCTTATCCAATTGCAAGGGTAGCTCTATGAGGAGAAAATTTGCAATGGCACAGCCCTTCAGTAACACTTAAGTGGCAATCTTCTGGTGATCTAAGATAGCATAAACTCGGCATTATTACTTAAGTGTGGAAGGCCTGCTGGCACACCTGGAATAAGAATAGCCTGTGGCATGTAACAACAGGAAGAAATACAGGATTAGTGAAGGATCTAGAGGAAGGAGGAAGTGACAGTAGATTTTGCTTCTCTTTCTTCGTTTGGAGACCCCACAGAACTGCTTGGCCCCGGGAGGAATCTGAATAGGAAAAGTGCACATTTTAGTAGCAAACATTGCTCGAGATTTTCATTCCCCAACAAATAACACCATGAAGTGCCAGTCAGCTTGAAGTCGATCACCAGTTAATACAAACTTGACTACTTGTCTGCAAATGCAGACAAAAACAAACGCTCCACAGTAACAAAATAATCCTTGAGCTGCGTAGCTGTGACTGCAAAACAGCCTTAAAGCAGTATATTGCTAGAGCCTAGCAGATGAGGAAGCCTTCAGGGAACTCAAGTGATAAGAGGAAGCAGACCAGGCTAGGATTTGAAAGTTAAAATTAAAAAATGGTGGAAAATCCTGGATAAAGAGGATTGTCCACAACTTTACTGACATGCAGGTGATAAGAGCTGATGTAGTCTAAAGACGCTGTGCTTTAGGAACAGCCTTATCAGGAAAGTCACGGAAAAGTAAGCTTTTTCTGAAAGCAGACATTTCTAGCAGTTACCAAAGAATGGATAGGACTTTCAGAAACTTGCTTTTTGCTGAAAGCTTCTAGGTGCTAGAGATACAGATTCTCCAAAGGAACTGGCACACCTCGTATCAGAACAGCATCATAAATCGCATGGTTCAGCCTGGTCCACATCCTACTGGGTAGGAGCTCATTTTGAGACATTTCTGTCTTTAAAATCTACTCCTACTTTTGATAACAATTATAATAGAAAAATTGAGACTCCATACCAGTTCTCATTAAACAAAATAAAGATTTTTATCAATTTCAAGTTCTAAACAAACCACTGAGGCTTTTTAATCTGGACTGGCACACTAAAGGCAGGCAAAGTAGCGGCACCTACTCAGCTCCCCTGTAAACCCAGTACTTTA